ATAATAGATTAAAATAAAATCAGTAAAGAATTTCTTTTTTATAGAATTAATGCTTATAAAGTTGACTATTAATAAGACTATGACTAACTATTTGTATAACTACGTAAGTAAACTCATGTTTGTGAAAATTGCAACACCATGAAGGACTTGCGCGAGTGAGCTGAAGTTTTCAGGAAATGCAAATTAGCGCATGATATCAAATGATTAGAATTTCAAATCCGTAGCGCATGCGTATGCTGAGAAGCGCCCTCTGAACGGCGGATGGATCCGAATAAATAGACGGCTGTAGCGAGGCGTGTATGGTTATCGGTGGTTATCTACTAGTGGTAAACGTTAGCTCAATCGTTACTTATGCCTCTTCGACGAAAAAGAGTGAGATTTGAACTTACAGAGTTTGAAAGGAGGAGAATCATCTGCCTTCGTGAAGCTGGATTGTCTTATCGTGCAGTAGCCGCTCGTGTGCAGCGTAACAGCAGCACAGTGATGCGTCTTTGGCAGCAGTGGACGGACGAGTGTCGGACAACTTGGAAATCCGGGAGTGGACCCCGAAATGTGACGTCAGCTCGCGATGACAGACATCATGGCCGCATGGTGCTGACGGACTGTACAGCTTCCTCTAGACAATTGGCAGCACAGTGGTCAATAGCTACAGGTATTTCATTGTGTACTTCATCAATTCGTAGACGTCTGCTGCAGCGTGGATTGCGCGCAAGGACTCCTTTATGCAGGATCCCTCTCACGCTAAACCATCGCCGCCTGCGGCTACAATGGGCCGCTCAACATAGAGACTGGCGTGCTGATTGGCAGCATGTCGTGTTTTCTGACGAATTCCGCTTTAATTTGTGGTCCCATAATGGCCGCATTCGTGTCAGACGCTATGTCGGTGAACGCCACCGTCCGGAGTGCATTATCGAACGCCACAGTGGACGAACACCTAGAGTTATGGTCTGGGGTGCCATAGCATATCATGGGCGATCTCAATTGCTAAGAATTGTGGGCAATCTGAACAGCAACCGGTACATCAGTGAAGTTCTACAGCCCCAAGCTGTTCCCTTCCTTCAAAGCTTGCCAGGCGCTGTATTTCAACAGGACAATGCCAACAGGACAAAGCCCGCTAAGACTGTTCAATCCTTCTTTTTGCAACGCGGCAGGTACAGCTTCTTCCTTGGCCTGCGTATTCCCCGGATATGTCGCCGAACATGTGTGGGATTTCGTTGGTCGGCGTCTCGCTCGTGATCCTCGACCTGTTGCTTCTGCAGACGAACTTTGTTGTGCATACAAACAATATGGAATGCTCTTCCTCAGGCAGACATTCAAAATTTGTTTGACTCCATGCCAAGCCGTGTAGCAGCACTTATTGCGGCGCGTGGTGGCTACACAAAATACTGATTCCGATCTCTTGTTATTGTTTGTTTGCTTTGAACATTTAATCATTTATTTGTACCACTACCACTCAACTGTGTATTAAATTTCATTCAATTATGACGATTCCTTCCTGGTGTTGCAATTTTCACAAACATGAGTTTAGATATTGAGCAAAACGTAGAAGTTTTGCATTGTATATACAATATATGCAAAACTTTAACATTTTTTGTACATATATATATATATATATATATATATATATATAATAATCCTTTTAAAAAAATGTTGTATTTTAATTGAGTGAGGGTTGATGTATAATAAATATAAAATAATACTATAATATATTATATAGAACAAATTTATATGTTCTGAAAAATCTTTTAACATCCATGCTTAACATATGTATCTTGTTGACAGCTTAATTCCTCAGACTTTATGTAAAACTTCCTCTACAATCTGAAATGCCTTCAATTAAAGTAAATAAATAAATCATAACTGGTATTCATTGTAACAGTAAATAATATTAACAATACATATACACACACTTGAATTTCAGATAATAAAAAATATTTTACAAAAAAATCTGATCATTTCAGCTGTAAACAAAATCTATACATATATGTTTTTTTTTTTTTTTTTTTTTTTTTTTTTTTGAGAATTTTACCAACATTAAATTTGTTCTTTATAATATATTATAATATTATTTTAGTCTTATTATATATCAACTGTTACTCAATGAAATGATAAAATCCTCATTTAAAAGAATTAATAACAGTTCACATGAAAACAGGTATGATTTATTTTTATTTAAATTATAGCTTTACATCGGTTAATATAAAAATTCTAATTTTTTCGATATTAAAATTAAAGAAACATAATGGCATTATTTGTTCAAGACTAATTTGAATTTTGTTTGAAATAGCATTAAAGAAATATTTATAAAAAATTTATTCTCAAATAAAAGTGAAATAATGTGTATTAAATTGAAATTAAGCTTCTCTTAAAAATTACACTATTTTCAAGTGTACTAGCATTATATAAAACCGAATGTCACATTTAATCAAAGGTGAACTAACTCGAAAATGTTTCAAACAGCAAAAAAGAACCCCATACAAAAATTATTCTATGAAAACGACGAATCAATAAACATAAAGTTGAGTGGCATTACACATTAAAAATACGAAATCTTTCGATACTTGTATCTGAATATTGAGGTAACGGCAATTGAAACAGACTCTCCCTAAAATACCACGAACGTCAATGCGCTCTTCGCTTATTAATTCCCAGAAAAGTCTTCAGTTACTGTGAACACACCATAACCGTAGCCGATCATTACCAAACTTATGGCTCGGCTTACAGAATATGGCGAAACTCCATATTGGGTGTATAAACACCCCATTCCCTGTAATGGAAATGTAGAGGGGTAGAAACAGATCGATGAAACCAAGGTAATGACCATTCCGGGGACTTTTTTTTTTTTTTTTTCATTTATTTTTATCGGTTTATTGTCGACCTTAACATCCCCAGGTTCAGTGACCGCTGGCGTTGTAGGTGGACGTGACCACTTGGAAGCACACATTTATGGCTGGCGATGATTCATAGTCTGTTGTGTATCGTTTGGGTTGAAGGTTTCTAGGTGGGTTCTCTAATTACCCACACCAGGTGCACCGCGTAATTGCTCGGTGCGTCAGGATTTCATGGTCAGAGAGCAATGTCCTTTTTTCTTTCTGTTCGTGGTAAAAGTTTTGGCACTATGTTAGAGTGAATTTTGTAAGCGGTAAAGGAGATTAATCCATTAGCATATTATCTCGCATGTGTTGGTACCTCATGTTTATACGTGTTTGGAACATTGCAAGTTAACTCGGGCAAATGTGAATTTTTAATTTTTGATTAAAAACTTTTTAAGTTGCCTTATATTACATATTGTCCACTCTTCATATCGTATGTCTAGTTGTAGTCATTCTTCTCGTATTTTAATTCATTTTTAAGTTGTAAATCAGATTAACTCTTTGCAGATTACCTCACCTGTATTCGTATCTCATATTTAAATGTTTTTGAATATTACGAGTTAACTCAGACAAAATATTTTTTTAATTTCTGACTAAAAGCAAGTATTTTGATATACCTTGTATTATTTTATGGCAAACACGAGTCCACTCGTCATATTGTAAGTCTGAAAATAGTCTTTGTATTCGTATGTGATATTTATGTGGTTTTAGAGTTGTAATTTAACTCGAGCAAAAGCGATTTTTTTCTTAAATTTTTGTCTAAAAACGAGTACTTATTTTGAGTTACTTTGTAATATTTTAAGGCAAACACAGGCTCATTCGTCATATTTTATGACTGGGGTTTTTCTTATCGAAATTTATTTTATTTTTAAATGATAAATGAGATTATCTCTTTAAAGATTATCTCGCGTGTATTCGTATCCGATGTTTATATGTTTTTAGAACACTAAGAATTTACTCGAGTCAGGAATAAATTTTAATTTTGATTAAAACGAGTACTTTGTACTACCATGTATTATTTTAAAGCAAACAAAGCTTTACTCGTCATATTGTATGTCTGGAAGTAGTTATTCTCATTGCAGTTTATTTATTTAAAGTTTTAAAGATGAATTCTTTGAGGATTATTTCGCGTGTATTAATATCTTACATCTATATGTTTTTAGAAAACCGTGAGTTTTTTAGGTCTAAAAATATTTTTTAAATTCTGAATTAATACGAGTATTTTGTACTACCTCGTATTATTTTACGGCAAACACTGATTCACTCAGCATATTATATGTATATATATATATATATATATGATGGTTATGTTTGTATATATATATATATACTTATTTATATATTTGGTCTTGAAAAACTGCGTGTTTACTCGGGCGAAAATAGTTTTTTTATTCTGGATTTAAGAAAAAAGCATTTAGTACAACTTCGTCTTATTTTAAGGCAAACACGAGTTCGTTCGTATTGGGAACAATAATTTTTATCAAGATTTATTTCATGTTGTTGTGCTGAAATTTGAGTTGATGTTTTGCAATATCCGAAAGATTGGGAGAGAGCTGTGTGTTATGTTTTGCTTATGAGCTTCTTGCATTTATTTTTTGTCAGTTTTTTGTTTAAAAATTGTAAACATCAAAATATTTTTAGGGGTAATAGCAGCGATGTATCTTATTTTAATAAATTTAAAGATAAGTTAAAAGATTATAGCTCTGATTCTATTGTTCAATCCAAATGGTAACATTTATACTTGAATTCCTATAAATAAAATAAATAACTTATTGATCATAATTTTAGCAATGCCTATTTTCGTTTTTAGCACAGAAAATTATTTCGAAAGAATTCGTGTATTCTGTATTTTAAAAAAATTATCTTTTAAATTATTAATAACAACTATTGTAATCTAGTTATCCATTTGATCGTCCTTGTACAGATATTTTTTAATTACAGCAAAAAGAAAATAACTTCATCGTTTAAGTGGGTAATAAATATTGTAAATACAGTTATTCATTAGATATGTGACCATAGTGCAGAACATTTGTTTAAAATAACAAAAATGTAGCCTTGGGAAAGCTTTTATGCTTTAAGTAGTACATTGTAATACAGTTGTCCATAGGTTTGGCATATGCCAACGGCCATGCTGAATATACCAGTTCTCGTTAGGATCACCGAAGTCAAGCATAATTCGGCGCGGTCAGTATGGGTGACCACCTGGAAACACCGAGCCGTTGGCATTCACAAATTTGGGACCTGAATGGCCGAGTGTCCTAGCGCTCTGGCGCTCGGTGTCACAGGTTTCGGGTTCGAATCCCGGAGGTGCCATGGATGTTTGTAGTGTTTCGGAATCCACTTTAATCCGTAGGTCCCGGTCTTCTATGACTGTAAGAGCGTCACGGAGCCAAAGTCAGTCTTCTAGCTACGGGTGCTCCATCACAACAGAAGCAGCTTCTTTCCCCTTCAATCATGAGTACGTATGGGCTCGTGGGTTTGGCCAGAAATGGGATAAGAAACAACAAACAAAACAACAACAAGGTTTTTTTTTTTTAATTATAACAAGATGAGGTTTAGAAAATAATATATAAATCTTATCTTGTATATAATCTCTTATATTTGTATTATATTACAACTCAATTTATTTGGGAACAATTGCATGCACATTTAAATAATGTAAAATATATAAATGAAGCTTTAAAAACAGTATTAAAAAAAAAGCATTGAGCAATCGTGCAAATATTCCATTGGCTGCTGCATGTTGATCTATAAGAAAGTGTGTGAAACTGATAAAATAGGGAACTTTGTAATAAAAAGATAAACAGTAAGGAGCTCAAATCAACAAGGTGCTAGGCCGCAGGCCTACAAACATAATTGCAATGATTGTGTGGCCCGCCAAGCGCGATTTGCACAGCGACACTCGTATCATTTATGCAGAAAGGAATCATGCAATCTATTATTTCTGGAATTATTTTCATTCATGACAACATGCTGCTGTAGCAACCAAACAGCTACTTGTACAATTTCAATTGGATGTGTTTGATCACGTGATTTACAACTTAGACTTGCCACCGATTGGCTTTCACCACTTTCTAGAGCTAAACAGAAGAAAAACAGCGTTTTAATAATTAAGGACTTCAAAACGCCTTGGGGACCTACCTGAATACATTAGCCTGAATTGACTTGACTTGAATACAATGACAGCCTTTTAAGATAAGGTTATTGGGAAAGTCGTCCATCGTTATGACAAATATCTCAATGCTCATGCTGACTATGTGGAAATTTAACATTAATTGTACCTGATTCTTTGTATGTTATGCACATTGCTTTTTATTTAATTACCTGTCTGAGGTTGAGAGAAAAAGCCCGCCCATATTATATGACCGTTGTGGTGCCATTCTTTTTATAGCAACTGTGGATTACATTTTTACATGTTGATTACTGGACGCTGGACCTGATGGTTGAGTGACTATCTCTCTGGCACTCAGTGCTTTAGATGTTGAGTTCGAGTACCGGCAGTACATGGATGTTTGTAGTGGTTCGAAATCCACTTTAAACCGTATAACCCGATATAATGTATTATGACTGCAGAACCTTGGCCTTAAGGCTGACAGCCCTATGCTGTAAAAAAAAACATGTCCTGTCATGAAATCTATCAGTAGCCAGACAGCTTTAGCCAACCATGGATTGTAGTACCAGGGAGTTAGTTTATTAATTTATGTTAATTTATTAGTTATTATTATTACATAATCATTTTCATTACATTATATTATATTATTATTATTTCATAATCTTCTTCATTACATTACATTACATGATTACCAGTAAATCACATAGTGTTTGATGAGCGGTTTAGCCCTTTCGTCTCGATAACCCTGATCTAACTTGGAAGTGAAACAGTATGTTTGGCAAAAAATTCTGCTCGTAAACATCCTCTAACTCTACGAACCATAACCTAAGACAAATAGCGACCAGCATAACTGTCAGAGATGAGAAAACGACTATTGATCGGTTTAATATATATGTAGCTTTATCGCGATATATTGTCTGATTTACGATTCGACACATATCAACACCACTTCCCTGACATTGTTCCCCAATTCAGATACATTATATCCGCAAAAAATATTCTTTATTCAGCACGATAACGATTCGTCCGCTATAAAATTCTGTAATTTACTCATATGGTGCTCTATAATATCGACGAACCAAAATGGTTTCTATCTTCAGTCTGAAAATCAGAATAAAATTGAAATTAAAATTGTACAAACATACAAGAAATTTTTTAAGTTATATTTTATTTATACACAAGGAATAAAGAATGAAACATAAATAAGCAATTATGATTAAAAAAAAAAAGTATGTACATGTAAAAACTTTCGTATGCATTTAAGAAAGAAAGACCCAAAATTTAAGGACGAATGAAAAAAAACGTAAAACAGCGTAATATTATTGGTTAAAATTGAAATATTGCAATTTACATTGCTATATATCTAATGATCTTAATTTTTAAATGTGTTATTTTTCAGAAAGAAATATTGCACAACTTTTTATTAGTGTTTAAAATATGTGTAAAATGTATTATTATATGTACTTTTGAGGGATTAAAATTTTAAATTCACGTTTTTTAAAAAATGCGTTTTATCTGCTGTATTTGTATTGAAAATAAATTTTTTATTATCAATTATTTATATATAATTATTTTATTCTCAATTATTTATATAGTGCAAAATATTTTGTTTTAGCAACTTAACTCCTTTGGTCACATACACTCAAGAGCCAAAGCACTATGACCACCCCTACATTTTGCAATGAACTCGCCTGGATGACGTGGAAGGTATGTGATCAGGTGGAAGTGGTATTTACTGGTATTAAGTGGCGGTATTAATCCATGCCAAGGCTGGTTGAAGCTGTGTTGCGCGCCAAAGGTGGGCCAACTCGTTATTGACAGGTGGACATAATGTTTTGTCTCTTGAGTGTATGTCGACATTTAGTTTTACAATTTCCGGCAAACTTCTTAAATCACTTCACAAACAAAATCTTGACCCATCAATAAAGATCATCAACTTCCATTGGTTTGCATTCCAAATGACATGAGTACAAAAATAAACTTTTTATTTTGACTTATTGTCAAATAATCAGTGTGCACATAATGTTGGACACACACACAAGTGTGTTCTGCACTCAGTTGATCTGAATGCCAGCCTGCCAGTAGCTGCTACAAGGGAAATCTGAAGTGGGTTTGTGTAGCAGTTCTATGTCTTTTATACTGTTAGCAGCAAAAAAGATCTTTTGCATGTCATAAAGACTAGGTCTCTGTCGATTGTATTCTCTAGAAGCTAATTCTATTCTTAGAAATGCATTTCACAGTCTATAAATTACGAGAGGGTCATATTCAATCAGACTGTTGCAGACTATCGGATCCGGGCTGTTTCTATTACCTAATGGCTAGCTAGCCATCGTATTTATTCAGAAACATCAATAACTACAAAAATAGCTTGAAATGGTATGGTCTGGGACTTTATTACTTGCAAAAACTGTAGATGCTTTTAAGACATCTTTTTTGCCACTAATCCGATGACGTTAAAAACAGCCGATCCTCTAATTTGCATATTATATTCTAATGAAGCATTGCATTGAATGTATATAGTGTACGTAATTTTTTGTTATATAATGGTAATTTTTCTGATTTCCATACGTTTTAGTAATTTTTTACAAATAAAGTTTTGAGAAAACATTATAGTAAAACTTTGATGCAAATAGAAGCTCTAAGTACTTGATTAAATAATAATAATAAAAATTACATTGTTTGCAAATATGCTAAACAGAGTGTCTAGACTTGTTTGGTCTTTATTTTATAATAAATATCGGTTAAATTTTTTTTTCAAAAAATTCTTGTTTTATGTAAGGAGAAATTAAATATTTTAAAAGTCAAAGGTTTTGCGTGGATTGCATATTAAATCCATTTTAAATTAATTTATTCTTCTTTTTCAGTATTTACCTTGTAAAAGTCGGACTAAATATATTTCTTGTAGTTTAAAATTTTTTACTGGTTAAAGTTATTAAAACTGTCTTTTTAAGTAATGAAAACATTCGAGAGCTTCTTAAAATAAATCTATCACATCATGTAAAAATGATTATGTAAATATGAAACTGTGTTGAAAATATACTCTTATTAATTTAAACAATTTTAAGTATTATATTACAATCTTAAATTTCTTAGATTTCGCATCGGAAATAGTAATAGAATAATCACTTTTGAAGTTTCCAGTTTTTTTAAATAAAAATTAAAATCTAAATGTAAAATTCATTTTTTAATTTATTATTTTTATTCTATTTAAATAAAAAAACTTTGAAAAAGAAGAAAAATAAGCCGTTGTGAAATGAATTCAAAAACCTTTTAATGTATGATTCATTAATTACGAACAAAAAAATGAATATTTTTTTTTTTTCCTAATGAAAGTAATCAATTTATAAAAATATTTTTTGTAAATCAACTTTTTTTTAATTTTTCATTCTTACTCTTAAAAAAAAAAATGACTCCACACTTATTATCAGATTAATATTCAAAACTTATATCTAAATTGATTACATTTTTTGAAAAAAAAATAGATTTTTTTAACTCATACTATTTTCATTTTTACATTTGTTTTATAGATTAAAATGTCAAATATCAAGTTAGAATACCGATTTTTAATTTATTTTCGTAGAATGTGAAAAGGTTACTGGCTTTGTTCAAAATGTTAATTAGTTTTCTATATATATATTCATTTTTTAATATTGAATTTTTATTGTTTTTTTTTTTCACTTTGTAGTTTCTCTGTAAAGCCTATGATAATAGATGATTTTAATTTTTTTCTCTAATATCACTGTTAATAATTTAAAAAAATAGTTCAAATATTTTATCATAAACATAATTTCAAAGTTAAAACAACTATGTACACATTGACAAATAAAAAATTTCTTTCTCATAATTTTTTTTTAGTTCCGGATAGTTGCTTTACAGAATTTTTAAATTTTAATATAACTTGACATCAATCGATAAGAGGCCCAAATAATTTTTACGTAATTCATAAGCAATTATTTTTAAAACGATAATCATTAAATTCTTGATGAATTTTATTTAATTTATTTTTATGATTTAATTGCAAATATTTTAAATTACTTATTATATTTTTGTCTTAAGCTTGGTTTCTAGGAGCAAATTAAATTATGCGAAAAAAAGAATATCCCTGTTAAAAA